GACTGGCACGCAGGCGGCCATATACCCAGGCACGGCCCTGAAAATAACGCTTGTTTAGGTTAGGTTTATTTACTTTATCGCATTCTTAAGACGAGTGACGCCATTTTATTTATCAAATTTACAAGCAGTTTTAGTCTTATTTTTATATAAATATAACCTACATTTGCTGTCCCTCCACCTAGTTTTATCTATTAGTTCTACAGCTCTGATTGAAAAGCGGAGTTTCATGTTTTGTTTAGGCATGAGTACCTTATTGTTTGTTTTAGTATAATTAATTTAAAACAATATTAATAAAACTATATGGTTAATCAAATAATTTGTATCAAATCCTTTTTTAAGTACCTATAATTTGTTTTAGAATAGTGCATTTAAAGAAATTGGTGGAAATGAAGCAAAAGTCGCCTTTATATTTTATGAAATTGTTTAAAAACTATTTTTTAATTTATTTAAGAATCAATGCGCTTGATTTTGGTGTATTTTAAATAAACATGTATATTTTGAAATGTCTTTTTTAGTCTTATATTATTTTAGAAACGTTTCTACGTTTCATAATATTTAGGAAAAAACTAGAATACCTTTCTGAAATATTACTATTTAATATTTTTAAAAGAATTCAAATTTTTATTTCAGAAATATTACTGTGAAATATTATATTTACAGGACATTTTTAAGTTTCAGGCACATTTCAGAAATGTTTCTGGGAGATTTCGTAATATTTATACATTACAAATCATCGTCAATCTCACAAAGTGACCTATCTCATTTTTCCTAATTTTACAGGAGACTAATTTAAAGTTGTGTGCTGCATTTGAGTAGGAGAGGTATATTCCTCAAGAAAGTTTATATTACTACGTAACGGTTACAGCTTGAGTTACGCCACTTTGTGAGAAGGAAGATCTATAAAAATAAGTTGTTTTTACAATCCTATCTCAAAAACTGCATTTTTTAAGATATGTCAGTTTGTGAGATTGACGACGAAATGTTTCAATGTAACATATTTAAAATATTTCCGAAATGTGTTTGTGCTCTATTGGTTAATACCAAGCCACATGACTTGATTTAATTTGTTTTTCATTTTCGTTATTAGTTCACTAACATTTTTTCGAAAAGGTGAATAAAAAAGTTTTACCTTCTTTTCAGTCCTTCCGGGGGACATGTTTGTAAGTTGGTCTGAACTTTGATTTCAGATAACCCAATAAAAATAGTCCAGTGGGATCATGTCAGGAGAATATATATATATATAATTTACAGCGTAGGTAAATCAATCCATACTGCATACAGGCGGATTTTTTCTTTTTCTACAAGATACTGAATTCTGAAACACTTGCCTCTCATGTATTTTACACGTATTTCATTCTAACTCTAGTAACAAAATGATCATTCTGTAATAGCTACTGGCCAATGGCTGTGAATATCACGGCCACATCGTAGATAGCCATGAATTTCATGATTGACAGTTCTACACGACGTATTATTTATTATTTAGTACATTTGCCTAAATAAAGATAAGCGGCTTTTGTTGAGTCGAACTTACATTCATAAAAGGGTGAATATATAATGATTCTGATATGGAATTTGATAATACTCTTCCTGATGAACTGACAAATGATTTATGTAAAACCTCGCCTAACATAAGTTAGATCAATTATTTAATTTTGTTCAAAGTTTCATTTTACTCTATTATGCTTTCCAAACAAAATGGTTGCCCATATGGGCTATGAGTTATGATCACTGATCTGTACACATACTTTGATTACTATATAGTGCAAGAAAGAGGTCCAACACGCCCAACATAGGGCGCGGCCATTTTGGTGCCTTTACCACAGTTTATAGCTAAAGAATCAGTTCGCTCTCTCTGCGTCGGCACTTTTGATCTCAATGTTCCAGTTTATAGCCTGCGCAACTCGGATAACACAATATATGACAACCGCCTATAATAAAACAGCAGTCTTCTGCGCATCCTGAATTTGTATCCCTGGAGTGGATGTTATTTTGGAACTTTCAACTGGTCCGAGTGAAGTAACTGATTCTTTAGCAATAAACTGTGACTCCAAAAATAATATCCACTGACACTGACAGCAGCAAGCAAAATATCAGGTGCGTTTTAATCATCCGCTTCTGCTTCCGGAATTGTCAGTTTAGTCGTTTTAACCTGTCAGATTTAAAGAAGAAAACCGACAATTCCGAAGCAGAAGTGGATGATTAAAATGCACCTATTAAAAATATTGCGCCAAGATGTAGTCAACACGTAATAAGGGATCAAAATGGCGGAGTTTTCTATCTCCTTTTAAAAGGCACTCCGAAAGCTGCGCAGTGCGACCATTCTCCGTATAGTAAAAGAAAACCAAAGTATGTGTTAAAATCACACTCAAAATTGCAAAAACCAAAATCAAAGTATGTGCAAAAACCGGTACTGTAAAATCATGAGATTACATAATGGACATGCGTCCGAGTACTCCAGATGTCAAAAGTATAGTGTTTTTACGAAATGTTTGCTACATTTTCAGCAGCATTAGAGGACTTTTTCTACCACGCGCAATCGGCGATAAGGCATTCCATTTTAAATATACAGTTCACCGGGTTGTGTTTAAAGAAACCATATCTGATCTGCTTTAAAATGTAGGGTGGACAAAGCTGCAATTAATTTAATAATAGCCAACGATAATTGTAAAATAATACTCTAAAATATTAACATTAGCCTTTGATTTCAGTTTACCCCCCTTCTAATGATTTTTATGTGTCAACAGCAATACTATATACATCTCGCGTTCAGGCATGCTAAAATTTCAAAATATATCAGGATATAAAAAATGATGGTCTGAGTTCAGCTCGGAGGCCGTACCCTAACCCAAAATATATAAAATTACCCAGTCACAAAATAATATTTCTCTTTATAATTCAAATTAAAAGTAGTTCATTTGATATTTTATGGAAATCATAACATGATTTTTCCTTGCTCTTATTTGTAGCTTATCTTTTAAAAAATCAAACACCGATATTATAAAAACTATTAACACTAGAACATAGTTCATAAATAAAAATACTAGAATGAAGAGATAAATGCTTGGCATTCTATATTATACTATTCACATTTTAACAGAATATATACGCTTCAGTCCCTTTTCCTGAAGATCTTTTTTTATTTGTAAATTAGGATTTTTTCAATATTTCAACCCCCGTATCCCCCAATTTTGAATCAGATTTTTTCAGAATTAATTCGCTCCGTGCGTGATAGCAGCGCCAATTTATTTAGGTACTAATGGACTATTTCTGCGTGTACTGACAATACAATTTTTAAAAGAATTCGTAATTAAAAAATATATATGTTAGTTTTAATAAAAGTATATGGATTTGTAAAACAAGTAAAGCATTATAATATATTATTATATATTTTTTATCGCTTAAATTAAAAAAAAAAATATAATCATAAAAAATCAATAATAAAAAATTGGCAGGCAACAGTATTTACAGGAAAATGTATGAGAAGTTTTTATAAATAATTTGTTTTTGTGCCCTTATAGAGCTTGATTTTTGCTAAAAAGTTTAAGTCGATATTATTTTTCGTTTTGGAGTTATTTTTGTTTTACTTTCAACCTCCCTTAAACCCCCCCCCATTTTATTAGGATTTTTTTAAATTTAAGCGGATTTTGCCCCTTCTAGAGCTTGACTTTTGCTAAAAATTTCAAGTTGATATTATTTTTCTTAACCTCTCATTTTTATTTAGTTTTTTTTTGAATCAATACGCTTTATCCCCTTATAAAACTTGTTTATTCCTCAAGATTTCGATTTGACATTTTTTTTTGTTGCCGAGTTTTTTTCAATATGTCAACCCCCCTTATGCCCCTATTTTCACTGTTTTTTTTTTTTTTTTTCAGAATCAATAAGCTTCATTTCTTTGTAGAGCTTAATTTTTAATTAATATTTCATGTTGATATTGCTTTTCATTTTTGATTTATTGTTTTTAAATTTTTCGTTTTTATATATTTCAACCCCCCTCAACTGCCATTTTAATTTAATTTTTTTCTTATAGAGCTTGCTTTTTACTAAAAATTTCATGTTGATATCCCTTTTCGTTTTTGATTTTATTTATTCAACCCCCCTAACCCCCACATTTTTAATCAGACTTTTTTCAAAATCAAAGGGCTGCTTCCTCTTATAGAGCTACCGTGTACCAGGGTGACCAAAATATGAAATGTGATTGGTGGATTTCATTTTTTTACCGTGTTCTTACTAGGTAGAATGGATATGAAATATATTAGTTCAGGTTGGCATACTTTTTCATTTTGTAGTCTGTGAGTAGAATAGCTAATATTTATGTGGGTGTATAAAATAGTAGTTAATGCAACAAAAGTGGATATGATAGTCACATCGCACGAAGATGAAGTTTGAGTACCTAAATGGTCGCTTACGTTTCAGGCATTATCTTGACCGGCAAACATTCCAGACTTAAATGTAATCGAAAATATTTACCACGAATTGAAGAAATACCTTCGAAATAACCCGCAGAGAACAATATCGGATTCAAGAGTCTAATTTAAACAAATTTGAGAAACTATAACTCCTGAATTTTGCATACAGCTTGTGAATACTATTCAAATTGTTATCAATTCAATAGATGTTACAAGTTAAAAATTGTTTTTAAATTAATTTACTGAAACGTCCCAATATTTAGTTGTTAACATTAATCGATATGTTTGAATACTTTACGCATTCGTAACAGTTTAAATTAGTTTTCAAATGAACAAATTTTCGAATTGGGAAATATTTTTTAAATATTCATAACTATATTGGCAACATTTTTAAACGGTAACATCTAGCAAATATTAGGATGGTATGTATCGCCAATGCTTACAAATAGTATGTTAAACAACTTATTAATTTATACCAATTGTAAAACATATCGCCCATCTCTCACTGTCGTTATTATGATTGTTTTTCTTCGCCAATTTGACTAGAAATACAGAGATCATAAATTCAAATAACAAACAAAAATTCTTAAGTGTTTTTAATAGTTTTAAATTCAGAGAGTCTTAAATCTACGAGAGGAAAATACAATCACAGTTCCATTATTTCTCTTTATAAATGATTTTTTTCGGAAAATTTAAAATATGTAAAAAGCTACAAGTTTTTTTAATATAACTGTATTTATTTACTAACAATTTTATTATTTCTTTCATAAGACGAAATTAAATTAAAACTTTAATATAAAATTCTTCTCCACTTGTATCAGTCAGTATCCAACTTTGATGGGCCTTTATTTTTAATCAAATTGCATTGTTTGATAAACAATCAATTATTGCATAACATCTTCATATTCTTGTTGATCCATATCAATTCTTTCCACCCACATGTTATCCGCTATCTGCTCGGGATGATGCCTCGTCTTATGCTTCTTAAGTTGACTAGATGAAGTATAGCTCTTTGGGCACTTATCGCAATTGAAATGCTTTATACCGGTATGTTGCTGCATGTGATATTTTAAATGCACGGATTGCATGAATGTCCGTCCACAACACATACACAAAAATTTTTTACCATTGTGTTTCTTTTGGTGGTACATATACGTATCGTACGTTTTGAATTCTAAATTGCATTCGCTGCAGAGGTACTCTGCGTGCGTTGAATGAATCCCTTCGTGCTTTTTGAGACTCCAGGAAGTCGGAAATGTCTTGTTACAACCTTCGCCGCTGCAGCAATACCTAAAAATTGTAAAGTGACAGAAATTAATTGAGTTTAAACAGGATAAAACCCCCCGGAATCAATAGTTAGAACAGAACCCTGCTAGGTGCTTATTTATTATTACACTGCTCAAAATTCCAACTACAGAGCAGGAAATAATGACAAAAATTAAATACAAAAATAGTATGAGTAAGAATAGGTAAACACTATACTATTATTTGTTCAATAACGATATTAAATATCTACAAAGTGCAGAAGATGTATGTATATACCTACTTCACCCTAAATGCCACAGAACTTTAGACAAAAGAAACTGATGTGATAGGTACTTTTCTCCGAAAAATATTGTTCTTCACATGGCACAAGTTGGACATGGCAGGAAACTTAACCCTGAGAAAGTGCATCGTGCCAGTGGTGAAAGAATATAAATATCTCAGAATCGTTGTGGATCTGAAATTATTATGGACGAAATATATATTCAAGGATAATATACCAAGACCTTGATAATAGCTATTTTTGTTGCGTCTAAATCTCGAGAACATTTTAATATCAATTTGATGAGACATAATTTTAGGCATTAATAATCTGATTAGAGCCCGAGAGCTGCATTAAAAAAGAGGTTCCCGAAACTTCTAGACTGAGAATCAATTACCAAGATGTGACATTCAGGAAATCCCACAAAAATTCGACAATATTTGTGACAATCATCAGAATTTTACTTTTCCGAATGCTTTAAATTATTACTATGTAAAGAATATTGAACAAATATCTGTTCTACTAATAATTATCCGATTATACCTCATCTAAGTGAAATTGAAACTTTTGTAAATTTTAAACTAATTAATTATAATGAATTAAAAGAAATATTGTTTTCAATGTCAAATAAAAATAGTCCAGACGAAATATCTACAATTTTATTAAAAGAATGTTTTCCCATTTAAGATCGATAAATTTGATCAGTGCTGTTGGAAAACTAATAGAAAAAGTAATATTTCTTTAAATTATTGATTATTTAGAGAGATACAGTTTGATAAGTAATGTGCAATCAGGATTCCATAGTAAACACAACTGTGAAACTGCTTTACAGTTGGTGCTGTAGATTTACAGAGGGTATTTGAGACTATTAATAGGGGTACATTATTAATGAAACTAAGAGCTATTGGTTTGGAGGGTTGTGCACTGGACTGGTTGGGTAATTATATGGAAAATAGGAAACAGAAGGTTAAGGTAAGCAATTGTGTTTCAGATACTATAGAGAATAATATGGGGGTGCCACAAGGAAGTGTTCTAGATCCGCTACTGTTTTTAATTTATATTAATGACATTTATGGTGTAGTCGAAAGATGCTCAATACACTTATTTGCAGATGATATACTAATATATTATACCCCTGAACACACTGAAACTTGTTTTAAAGAAATTAATAGTTCTATAAGTAAAATATATGATTACTGTAACTGAAACTCGTTTAAACTAAATTATGAAAAGACAAAGTGGATGTTATTTGGAGGTGTACTGGAAATTTAAAAAAATAAATGTAGCATCGCAGTGTGTTTCTGTAGATGGATTAAAGTTTCAGAGAGTTGAAAAATGTAAGTATCTAGGGGTTATGGTTGATACAAATTTACAATTTAAGGAACAACTAACAACGTCATCAAAAGCATATCATTTAAAATAAACTATTTGAGGCGCTGTTCTCCACATCTCAGCAAATAGGCTAAAATAATAATTTATAATACTCTAATATTACCTCATTTTAAGTATTGTGCCACTATATTGTATTTGCTCAACTAGAATGAGTTGCAAAAATTGCAAAATAGAGGTATGAGGATAATACTGAGCTGTTCGAGATTGGAACCAATCAATTCCATGTTGAATGTGCTTCATTGGTTGCCTGTTAAAAAATATTTGCTATTCTATTCCCCGCTATTTATATTTAAGATTAAATCAGGAATCTCCCCAGTATATTTCCCAAATATTTTAAGTTATAATCAGGATGTTCATGAACACAAGAAATAAGAAAAATTTTAGAGTTTATAAGGACAAGAAAAAATGTACAAAAAATGCAGTGTTTTTTAAAGGTGTACAGGCTTTTAATAATTTGCCTGAAAATATTAAAATATTAAATGTTTTTCAAACGCAGCAATATTTAAAAGAAAACTGCGTGAGTACTTGCTGACCAATTAATGTTTTTTTTTTGCTTGTTCTTTTATGTTTTGTATAGTTGGCATGTAAGTGTACTGTATCTTATGTATTTTTTATTGTATTTTAAATGTATGTTGATTCTATACTTATGCATTTTTTATATTTTAAATGTGAAGATGTATTGACATGTAAAAAATAGTTTTTTTGACTTAATAAACAATTTATATTTATTAGAATGATCTCATCATTCGAAATTCCATTTCACTCAGTAGTGTATGTGAATGATAGATCATTCCAATGATCCAGTTCAAGTTCTCGGGATATCTCGAAATATATTAATAATCGATAATTCAAATTATCCTATCACTACTTTTTTAAGAATATTTCCCAAATAAATCTTACCTTAAATTGGAATGGGTCTTAATATGAGCCGTCAAGGTACCTGTCCTATTAAAGCTCTTCCCACAATAAGGACACTGGTACCTATGAAACTTCATAAAATGGTTCAAAAAAGTATCTGGATTGTAAAGTATACCATCCACGCAAACATTACATTGAAAAGACTCATCATGCAAAGACATGTGGGGTAAGAGGCCATTTTCAAAAGAAGCAAAATACATGGAGGGACATACAGGACAAGAAAATCGTATTTTTATTTTTCGCCGTAAGACGGTTTGAGGCTTGTGATTTGAATCACCTTCAAGAGGTACTTCTGCTTTAATAACCTTGACTGTAACATTATGTTGAAAATTTTCTATACTAGTTGAAGCACCATTTTCGTCTAAACTATTTAGAAATTCGCCCAGATTTTCCACTTCTACTTCCTGATATTCATATTCCTCCTCATCACCTTCTTGTTCAACCAACTCTTGTTCAACTAACTCTTGTTCAACTAATTCCTGTTCTTGATCCTCCTCCAACAGTTCATATTCAACCTGTTCTTCCAATTGAGCATCCTCCATCTCCTGTTTCTCACATATTTCTTGAGATCCTCCTGGAGCTATCTCTTTTTTTTCTTCCAAGTGTTCACGTTTTAAATTAATAGCGTCATTAGGTGAAATCAGTATTTCTCTTTCTTGTAACAATTTTTCATGATTCTCTTTAAATTGGACAATAAAATTATAGGCTATTCTTAATGTTTTAAAACATGGTACACAGATGCCATCCGGCAAATCTTCACTTAATTCTAGCTAAAATTGAAACAATACATTCTTAATTTTTAATTATTAAAAAAGTTAAATATTTACTTCTATCGAAGTACAGTACTTTATCATAGTGTTGATTTCTTCATCACAATTTAAAATTGTTCCATTTATAGGGTACAGTTTTGGGACCTCGTCTAAACATATCCGACACCTATTGTTCATTTTAGTTTAATTAAAACAATTAAAAACTGAAAAAATATGCAAGAAAAGCTAATAATTCAAATTTAAACAAAATACTTCGTTAGTTGAAAATATTTATGACAAACTTGGGTGACAAGCAACGAACAACCGAATCATGGCAACGAATCAAATAAACGAAGCAACTTTGATATTTGACAGTTTTGACGTTTATTTCTACTTATTTTTATACTCTTTTATCTCTCTTCCTTATGTGCCAATGTGTATATGTCTATATTTGTTCATTCTATTTTTGTTCTTTGCTGAGCGATGGTCTTTTTCATTGATGAATTTTATTTTTAGAACTACATGTTTTTTTTAAAGTGAAAAAAGTGTATTTTTTTACAATTCTATCTATTTGTTTAATGAAATTTAATACATTCTAAGCACTTGATACTTGTGACGAAAAGTTACCAAATACTTATATAGTAAAGGGTCATTGTTCTACATGTCAGAAATTTGACATTGAAGTTTTATTAATGAAATGACATTGAAGTATTTATTTTCATAATTTTGATATGCGTCATTAGTGAAAATAGAGATATTTATTGATTTAAATTTATTCTAAAGTCTGTTTTTCGTCAATCAATCCAGAATTTAGTAAAATATTATTTGCTAATCCAACTCTACCAAAAAAATACAGCAAACAAATTTGAATTAAACTATAAATGTTGTAACAAAGAACCATGGACGAAGATATTCTTACAACTTTGAAAATATTAATCATTGGTGAGAGTGGTGTAGGAAAATCTAGTCTTCTATTAAGATTTACAGAGGATAACTTCGATCCAGAACAAACATTAACAATTGGTGTAGATTTTAAAACGAAGAGATTAAACATTGATGGTAGCAGAGTAAAACTAGCAATATGGGATACAGCGGGACAAGAAAGATTCAGAACATTGACACCTTCGTATTATAGAGACGCACAAGGAGCAATTTTAGTTTTCGATGTTAGCAGTTATGCGACATTTTCCAAACTCGAAATGTGGTTAAATGAATTGGAAACATATTCTACCAAAAATGATATTATTAAGATGATCGTAGGAAATAAAATAGATGTGGTAAGATGTCTAAAAATATGTTTATTGAATTACTTATTTCTATTTTCTGTTAGGATAAGCGTGAGGTATCTAGAGAGGAAGCAATGAGATTTGCCAAGAGGCATCATACTTTGTATATTGAAGCCAGTGCTAAAACTAAAGATGGAGTTGAATCGGCTTTTGAAGAATTAGTACATAAGGTAATTGCAGAACACTTTCTTTTAAAAGGAATAGGTGCAAATTATGACAAAAAAAATAATAATTACAGAAAATGGGATGTCTCCTGAAAAGCAAAAAGGTTGTGAGGATGGTAAAGTTTAAAGTTGTAGGAGAGGTATGATCTAACACACACTAATGAGCATGTGTGGTCATAATATATGTAAAAATTCTTATATTTGATAGCATTATTGCCATGTTGTAATATTTAGAAATACTTGTAATTTCACAACCTAATAAATATGTTCATTTTGCATTGATTTTAATAATTGTGTTTGTTGTTTTGTTTGTATTATTTATAATTAGTAAGGGTTTTTTTAATTTAAATTTTGCTTCAGATGGTTAAAGAGCATACAAAAATATCAACCAAATAAATAGTGGCTTCTATAAATATCAAGTCATTGTATCTACATGAATACTTATTCTTTATTAGGTCAATTATTATTGGTTTTCATTTATATTAATCTAATCATTTTTTCAATTCGTCTTTATATAGCTATTCAGTATTAGAAAGTCCCAAGCTACTGAAAGGAGAATTATTGAATGGAATAAACATTTTTTTAAATTTATTTATTCGATAATATTATATTATTCACAATCTGGCTGCATTGCTTCACTAAAACGCAGGAACTGTTATGTATGGTCAGAGTGTACATTAGTACATACCTTTCCTACAACTTTACCTGTAAGGATTTTTTGATATGAAATTTTATTTATATATGCACCACTGGGAATACTTTGCAATGGTATGGGTCTCGAGAATATTGAAAGCTTTAAATTTGTGCAATGATAAACACCACTCTACAGACATTTATGAAAACAAAGGTGGGACACCCTCCTATTTAAAAATTACTGGATATCTATTAAAATAAAAAGCAAATTTTCATAGATTTAATATAGAATGGTGAGTAAATGTTTTTTGTTTTAATTTCTTTTAAAATTATAATAAATATTTTTCGAAGGTTTACAAAAAAAAATCAAGTCTATATCATTGTAACCACTCCTAACCAATCATATTAATGGACTGTAATTTTATTTATGGTATCTAATATAAAAAGTTTCATTATCTCTGGTTCCACTATTAATTTTAAAACCAGTTTATCCCTTCCCATACCTTACTCCTGATCTACAACTGGACCATATTGATGTCAGCATCAGGATTATATTTTATCAATGAACAGCTATATATGTTATCTCTGGTGTTTACAGATAACCATAATTTATCAAAATTTTCATTTTTTAATTATATTTTGTTTTATTTCAGATAATTCAAACTCCCAATTTGTGGGATTCATATGAAATGAATAATATTCACATTGGCAACAAAGGTCAACCGAATCAGTCTACATGTGCTGGTTATTGTAGTTTAGTCTAATTTAGGTCATAAATTGTAATCTTAGAAATTTTATATAACTCAAATTTATTGAATACAAAGAAAAATCAAACACTGAATTAAAATGTAAAACATCTATTTCAAGGTATACCTAATTTATAAAAAAATAAAATAAATTTGCTAATACATTTTAATAAATTACCTTGTTTAGAAATATTGTGCAATTTTTGTAGTTTAGGTTATTTTTATATAAAATATTCTATAAATAAATGTAAATGTTGTATATCTTACTATACTTAAAATATTTGGTAAAAATGTATTTTACTTATATCTCTTATACAGTATGTCTACTTAAGTTCGCTACATATAGTTTTTATTATTAATGAAAAAAATGTATTGTATGAAAAATTTTGCTTTTAAAAAAGTATATTAACTGTTCAAACTTGACATAGTATTCACTACAAAGTTATTAAGCATTGCTATAAAAGGTTGAAAAATGTGTAACCTTGTATATTATGACTGATAAATTTTAATGTCCATTGTTTGCATTTTGGTTTTTAGACATTTGAACTTTTTAAATACATTTTTTGTACAACATAAAACTATATGTAGCCTACTTAAGTAATAGAGTAATTTAAAAAGCTGATATTTTATTTGCTGGTCCAATGTGGTATTTATTAAAAATCTAATATATTTGTCTGTATTTTTATTTATAAAGGAAATAATCATGTCTAGGTAATCTTGTAGTTTAGGCTGGTATCAGGCTTTAGCAGCCGAGGCCTTTTTTAGAAGTTCGCTATAAAAGGGACGACCTAGTTTACGAAAAATACCAAAAGATTTCACCAAAAAAGTACCTTTTTTTAGAAATTTAACACAGAGAGGACGACTTGAGTTTTTTTAAAAGCCTCGCTATTTTCCATAAATCTGCCAACCCTACTTATATAAGGGGCCATTGCCCGTGTTTTTGCCAAGGGTCCCCACCATGGCTCTTAGCAGCCCTGGCTGGTATTAATTCACATGTCTGTACTGGGGTTTAGAATTTGATTTATATCTACCCCTATGCCAGATTACTATTCTTGTTCTGCCATTTGTTTTTTTTTTTTTTTTTTTAATTTTGAGGTCATGGAAAATCTGAATTTCTCAAAAAAATCTAAAATTTAATTTTAATTCTAAAAAATTTCCTTTCCCTTAAAATGTATATTTGACATCTCTGATAACTCAAATTTTCTATATTCAAAAAATTAGTATTTAACCCTGGCAACTATGTAACGATTCCGATTGTCAGAGCAGCAATGGTGCAGACATTTGTATTATTACCCACATAAACTACAAGATTACCCATTTCTAGAATAACAAATATAACTTTTAAAAACATTCAAAAAATAAATATTTTCTCATTTTTACAGAATTCTGCATATTTTTAGTCTTTTCACAAACCCTGAATGAGGATTCTCTTGTATTTACAAAAGTATCTTAATGTTTCTCTTAGACGTTTTTTGGCAATCTCACAAGCACGTCCCTTTTTCTTTGCAGCAACTTTGCCTTAGTTTCCTGAACAGATTCACATTCAGGTGCATAACAAACGTGTAATATTCCTCCATAAAATGATCTCGTATCCAATAGTCTTTTCGCAACCCTGGCCGATTGAATCCTTTGGTATTGAACATGATAACATTCTGTAAACAATTCTGTAGCCACATCAGGTACTACAAAAATTGATAGAACTTGACCATACTTAGTACAAAGCTTTCTTAATTCGTTACGTAAGTTTATTGAAGGTACTCCGTAAATATAAAGATGTTGAGATTCTTGGTTTATCGTATAAACCTGCAAAAATTCTATTCAAAATGATATTGTGAAATAATAGTTTAAACCTTTACCTTCACAGCAGTTAATTTCCTTCCTTGTCTATACACAGGACGCGTAGTGCATAATTCTAATTGTTTGTGGTGAGGTTTTTCTTCACTCATTTTAATAAATACATTATAGAATACAAAAGATAAACAAAATAAAATCTCGAAACTAACCCTACTTTTGATTTGATGGATGACTTCTTGGTTGTGGTCTCTTACATGTAAGTTACGGTGACCTTTTACTGTTATTGCGTTTAGCCAGTTCGTCAAAGCGAGCCAAATCGTAGTCATTTTTGTATATATATAAGGGCTGATTCCACCGTTGTGTTAAACGGAGATTAAAATGACATTGTTAATGTAAAAATGTCATTTTAAACTTCGTTTAACACAACGGTGGAATCGGTCCTAAATGGACTAGAAATATAAGTTATTTTAAAGTAACACATCTTCTAATTTGATCACAGTTTTTATTCGTAAAAAATAGTTAATAACAAGTGTGTAACAATAATTTTATTTTAACTAAATAGGCATCATGGGAACTTCATTTTATTTGGGCAAGCATGATTTAGACGGTATTCAATGTAGATCAATCCGCTGTTATGCCAATAGTATAGTGCCATTACAACAAAAATATGCCACCACTGGTGCGAATGTCCTATGAAATCGAATTTTCCAGCCAAAAATCGTTCAGGGATTTTAGTTATGTAAATGATAAATGCACCTCCGCTTATAGCGTACATTCCAAGAACTCTAGGTAACAAAATCTAAAAAAAAATATATGTTTTATATAAATAACGAAAAGGAGATTAGGATAGACTATATAAAACGTGGAGAAAGGATTATATATAAAAAATTCCAAGTAATCCAAGTTCAGTCCTAGTATAATTTATTTGACAGAAAACAAAATAACGTAGACTTTAAAGTTTTGTGTTATGAAGGCTATTTTTGAGCTTATGAAATTAAAGGCATTTATTTATAATAAGCTTACTAAGATGTAGAACATACTATAGTTATCAGAGTAACCAGATCATTTCTTTATACTTGGTTACTTCCATGACGTCGTATATGTTACCAAAGCCACTTCGGTTCTTGTGGTAACGAGGACATTTAAACATATCGAGCATGCGCAAAGTACAAAGAATTTTACAGAGATCCTAAAATTTCTTAAAATTTAAATTTCGTTTAGAAATAAATCCCTCAACTTAAATTAAATTTGACATATGACGTTAAATATATTACGTTACTACGGTATGTGTAACGTCACCAGAGTAACCCCCTTTAGTTTTTCTATGAGAGTAACCACAATACTGTAACCCGTTTAGTTTTTCTATGAGAGTAACCACAATATACTGTAACCAAGAATGTTGCAGTAAGCTTATAAAGAAATGTCTTAAAAAAAGAAAAACTAAACGTTGTTTCTGAAATTGAAAAAGATGATTTCATCGGACGACATTGCAGTTGCAAGTTCATTGCAACAGCTTTGCACAATCAGTTTACATAGCAAGTAATACAAGCAGGATTTTATTTCAAAGGAAACAAGAAAAAAGAAGAAATTTATGCTAATGCCGTAACCTAAAGCTACGGTTTAAAGTCCGCGATGCAAAACTCACAGTCTGCTGAGCGGCGCGCACGTCTGCTGAAATCTACCAATGTTTTACTACTATGTTATAGGTCTTTTCCTTTGCATCGAAAGTGTAGCACTGAGCTACACCACTTCTGAAAATATCGTTCCATTTATACAAATTGTATGGATGGAACGACATTTTCAGAAGTAACGTAGCTCAGTGCTACACTGTCGATGCAAAGGAAAAGAACTTATGTGAATGGTTTGTTAAGCTACGGTTTGTTAGGACAGTGAGCGACGCTCGACGTATGGGTACGGCAGAATTTCAGTGGAAGAAGAAGAAGACGAAGAAGAATTGTTAGTTTTAAAGAAGTAATAACCAAAATAAAGCAATATTTTTAACTATATTGTCTTTGCAACTTTTCACTTGATAAAGTGCGGGAGGCTTTTTTACCATATCAATTAATATTTTATCCTTTTCAAACGATAATTTTGACATTTTATCACTTTAATTATAGACAGTGACTAGCAGTACATCGGATGTACGTGCTTTATTTGTATATCGGTCTCCTTTTGACAGAGTAGGTGAGCTGTGTCCAGGCGTTGGTGTTTATGCCGGTCAGCGTAGCCAGGTATGGATTGAAATTTTCTGGTGGCGGCGAAGCCGCCACCCTATGAGAAATCGTTGCTTCGTCTTCTTGTTGTCACGGCATTATTATTATTTGTTCATGTATGTGAAATTTGCTTTCAATGTTTATAAAAAAACTACAGAAAAATACTTCCACTCAATCATCTGAATTAAAGTTAAGTTAGAATTATGATGTACAAATAATGGGGAAGACATCCGATGTACAAATAATTCGTGTATATCCGATGTACTGCTAGTCAGGGCGTTAATTATAACACAAATTATTTTAACCTTATTTTATTTAACAGTCTACTGTATGCTCATGCTGAACGAGTGCGTCCAACTCAAAGTCAAATTGATTTCGACGTAATCAGTCGACGTACGCTGCTGTCTGCCTAACTGTGCTGACTCTCATTCCAATAAAATTAACGTTATGTGGCGGCTTGTGAGGAAGGGCGCTATGGGGCACCGCCCTCCCTGCGAAGTAGCAGGAGTCATCTGCGAATTAGTATTTCCATATACTTACTCAGTAATTTTATTTAACTCCTTCTAAATTTATTAACAATAAAAGAGTCAAACACAAATAACTGCAATAATAAAGTTTGTGAGCGAACAATTTAAATAGCTACGGACGAGCCGGACCTGTACAATACGAATAATACGGTTTTTCTCTATCATAATAAATGCGCACTATAATTATTGTATCAGCGTAGTACCAGCAGCCCATAGCCAATCGCTGGACGGTTGCCATATGGTTACCGACGTCAACCTGTAGTTCGCAGAGTAAGAAATTATGCATTTTGGATACATGCATTGGTGCCGTTGGCGGGCGCAGCTCAGTCAGCCCTCAGCCCGTCTGGCGATCGCTTTGTGGTTTGTTTTGCTATGTTGATCTAGTGTGGTGTTGTTTATTTATCATCGTAATAATTATTTATCATGAAAGTAACGGAATTTAAAAGCCTCGTATTCGGCCGCTTAAGTTTAAATGATTTTTGGTATTGATTTTTTGGTGCCCTTATACTCAGCCCTACCTATTACACAAATCACGAGCCGCCACTGGTTGTTAGATTTTGGCGGACGTGCGCGGCGCTCAGCAGACTGTGAGTTTTGCGTTGCTCACTGTTCTAACAAATCGTAGCTTTAGTTAGAACAGATTGCCGAACCGACAACTTTACAGTTTCCTTTGAAATAAAATCCTGCTTCTTATTACTTGCTATATTAACGGATAAATGGCGAAAGCTCTTACAATAACCTAGCAAGGCAATATGACATCAAATGAAAACTTTTATTGTTTCCTATTTTGTCTGTTCCTTCAATACGGTGTACCTCGTAGAGTTTTCTATATATAAACAACTTACAGCAACTAGTGGATTTTCAAAGCCGCCATTTTTGACAGTCCAGTGAACAGTAGGAATTACTCCGTATAGACCCCAAGCTACAAAAACTAGAGTTTTAACATTGGCATCAATATTCAATTCTGGAATGTGCATAGCCATTGCTAGTGCAAATATCAGAGTTACGGTTGTTGTATAAAACATCTGCCAGTCCTAAAAAAAGTTAAAAAGTATGATATATAAAGAATGATCCATAAAAAATGATTCTAAAGCAGGCCACAAACGACAAAGATAAAGATACGAGTCATATTCGCGATAACTACACAAGGCTCTGAATTAAATCCAAATTCTATATGCGTGAATGTTTTTAACTTTAAGAACATATTTTTTTGTAGACCACTCAATTTTAAATTTAGTCGTTTCAAATTTTTTTTATATAAAAAAAACACTTACTCTATCGCACCAAAAAGCATAGTATATTCCAGAGGTATAGATAGCCAGTAAAGAAAGGGCTATCCCAAATAGGTCGTAGGATAAATATTTGTAACAGTCCCTTTCAGATCTGCAGGAGAAGGTATGGTACATTGCAGATAGTGCCATACATGACTGAAAACAAATAAATAAATAAGACAAAATCAAACAAGCACACAACTGACAGGAAACTGATGGCCCTTTGCCGCGTTTCATGGGGAGATGAGACTGTGGTCTTTTCTGTAAAAATTTAGTTAAATGTAACCTTGGGTTATAAAAATAACCGGATATTATTTTTAATTTTGTATTCTGTATTATTTGGTTTTAAATTACATGTTGTATCAGTAATAAATCTATATAGTAATGATTACATGTCAAATATATTCTTTTTTCTTATTTTTAAAGCTGCGTTGGACTTAATCTCAATTCACTTTTAGTTGTTTCCATGTCTAGTTTAAGTGGGATTGGTTATAAAATTAAATTGATAAAATATTGAATAATTGAAAGTTAGGTTAAAATTTAAACGTCATAGTTATAAATAACCGTTTAACCTGGCGGTTAAAATTAACTAAAACGCTACAGAATATACCCCTATATTGGCCAAATATTAAATGGCCACTATATACAGTGCTTATTTTTTCGTGTTAGGCATACGACTAGTAAACAAGTTAATAAAATGGCATTAGGGCAACAGCCAGTCGGCGACTAGAATAGGCCTTTTCATCATGTGATGAGCGCAAGCGCAGCCGCCATGTTAAAATAGCGCCAATTCAAAAGTTTCGTACTGTTTTGATCAACAATGGCTGGAAAATCAATATTATCTGTACATACAAATCAATCATTAGAAAAAATCGTTGATGGTGATTTACATTTTTATAACTCTGTGAAAGCACATATTTTTTTTTAACAAGTGCGGAAAGAAAAATTTCTATCACGTGGGAGCGTCTTAGCACCCAAGTTATGGCAATTTTTCTTCCTCCCGCAACTGTTAGGAACTATATTGGGAAAATCCATTATCTAAGATATCCTTTTGGGCCATAATTTTTTAGTTCGTAGTTATATTATTTTTAAAATTTTGTTTGTAATGAATTTTTATTACAAGTTAAATGTTTATGCTTTTATGAACCATATACCTTGGGTGAAAATAAAATATATTTTAATGTTTTACAGCCTTTTAGCACAAAAAGAAAGGATCTAGTACATTTTCATTGATTCTCTAGTACAGTTTAAAAAATTCTACCAGCAACACTGGATTTAAGTTTTCATTCTTTCTTCAAAGTGAGTGTTTCAATAGAATCTCAGGAAAATTGGAAGTAAGTTAAAATAGTTTCTCTTTTGTAGCAGTTCAATCAGATTTTAAAACTAACACCGATTAGTACTTAATTAAAAATAACCAATTTTGGGCCTGCAATCAGCTATAGAAGGTACTGTAACTGTATGATGCTAAAGTTACTGTGATGTTAAAAGTCCTGTAACAGTTACTGATGATGGCAAAATGACTGTGTCCCGACTATCGGCAGTAGTAACCTATATATACCGGCTCTTTGTAGATAAAAGTTAAAAGGCCATCATTATAATTGGAGGCAGACAATTATTGGGTCATTATTTCCCCAGACCAAAATGTTGTTGAGTAATATTACGTTCACTTACCACGAAACATGCCATGAACAACCCTACTATGATTTTGTCTGTAAGTGTTGCTTGAATTTTCAATATAGTAAAATCATACACTGTCAATATTATGAACAGCATCAAGCCAAATATGTGGGACCATATGTTGATGGTTTCGTTTGTCCACCAAAACATGCTGAAAGAAAAAGCAATTTTAGGGCCCGTTTAAAGTGTTTAGATCATTTTTTTACCTTGACACACACAGGTCCGTACTCAAGTTCCTTCTGTATCCATTTAAAATGAATGGGTTGTGTTGTAGATATGGAGGAGCCTCGTTGTAAGGTAACAATTGTTTCGCTTTCTCGTAGTAGATGTCGTCGTGCATTTCGTCATCACTGTTGTCAATGTCATCGTCGTGAGAATGGGTCACTTTTGCATCCCGAAGATCTTCGAGTAATGATTGTGTGTGGTCCTGAACTGGGCTCTAGAAAAAAAAAGAGACAAATTAATAATAATAATAATAATAATAATAATAATGATGTTTATTCATGTAACAAATTTGTTTACAGTAAATACAATAAAAATGGGTAATTCAGAATAAACATAAGAAAATCACAGAAGTGAAAAATTTCACTTGTATGTGATGTAAATACAATAAAATAAGTTTTATGAACAAATTAGTATACAAGTCACAATCAGAAGCAAAATAATACTTGACATATTCGGTTAAAAAGTCACATCAGGGAAATTAGGACGTAATTTGGGTAAAACGTTACAATAAAGACCGGAAAATGTAATTTAGTTTATAGAAGTCAGTTTTCATTTTCATTATTGTAAAATAAATAAATAATTAATAATTATTAACCACTTCACTAAACATTGTTCCTCCTCCATTTTCAAATAAAGATTTCAGTTTAATTTTAAAAGCGGTGTAGGAGCATGTATTTCTTATCTCTGAGGATAATAAGCTATACAGTATGGAATAAATTCATTATTTCTAAAATAATCGACTTTTGAAAAAAATCCAAAAACAGGTCAATTTTAATTTTTGAATCGTCATCACATGATGTAGATGTAACGAACATTACGTCACCAGTATTACCGTGGTGACGTAATCGGCAATTTTTTTTAAATGCAACCGTGTGTCTCAAAACACCTCATTGGAAAGGTCTTCTAATCGTCTTTACAACGATGTAATTATTTGAATATTTATTTCTACAGGGTCGACCAAAACTGTTTATTTACTAAAATACATAAAACTGTTTAGTAAAAAACAATTAAATTATATTAAATGTTCAAACTGATGACCTTCAGCAATAATGCAATGAGACAGCCGAGCAGTAAATTCGTCTCTAACGTTTACGAGAACTTCAGGCGTTATTTGTGCAATCTCCGTTCTGATGCGATCCTTCAACTCTTCTATATCATTTGGGCGACTTTGATAAACTTTGCTCTTCAAGTATCCCCATAAAAAAAAGTCTAAGGGTGTCAAATCTGGCGACCTTGGTGGCCATTCGATCGTTCCTCTTCTTCCTATCCACCTATCTGGAAAAACAGCATTTAGGTAGGTTCGTACATCAAAGGCGTAATGTGGGGGTGCCCCATCCTGTTGAAACCACAAATCACATCTATTTGGAAATAGTTGATTTAATTGTGGTAATAGATAATCCTGAAGAAATTGAAGATATCGAGGACCGGTCAAGTTTCCTTCAAAAAAATATGGCCCTATTATTTGATTATTTATAATGCCGGCCCAAACATTCACCTTTTCAGGATATTGTGTCGTATACTCCTGCGTCCAATGGGGATTTTCACTTGCCCAGTATCGATATGTCTGGCGGTTTACATGGCCGTTGAGCATAAAAGTTGCTTCATCCGAAAAAAGTATATTTTTTATGAAATTACGATCTTTGTTAGATCGTTCCATAATTGTTTCACAGAATTCAATTCTCCTATCAAAGTCATCTTCTAACAGCTCTTGGACCAAATGTACCTTATACGCATGCCACTTCTCCTTTTTCAGTACTCTAGCAACAGTAGAATGGTGTAAATTATTATCCAGCGCAACTTGTCTCGTGCTGGTGTGGGGTCTTTCTTGAAACTCTAGTAAAACGTTAACTTTTTGTCTTCGGAAATTGACTTTCTACCACTTTTGGGGAGATCTTTAACATGGCCCGTTTCTCGAAACTTTTTCTCGATTTTACTAATTGTTGATTGAGAAATGGGTTCACGATTGGGGTATTTAGCATTAAATAAATTGCTAACTTCTCTCTGTGTCCTTACTCTATCTCCATAGCCAATCATCATTAATATTTCGATTCGATCAGTTTCTGTAAGCTTCATTACTAAATTATGCTAATTTAAAGATTTTAACTATTGAACACTTGACTGATACACATCAATTAGTGTTAAATTAGAATTTAGTACTATTATCAGTAACATATCCAAAATACAGAAATATTTTTTGGGTACACTACGATGTTTTATTTCCAGTAGCGGTCCTTACAATAACTTAGTTCAGTGAATCAGAATTTATGATTAAGATTTTAGTAAATAAACAGTTTTGGTCGACCCTGTAGAAATAAATATTCAAATAATTACATCGTTGTAAAGACGATTAGAAGACCTTTCCAATGAGGTGTTTTGAGACACATGGTTGCATTTAAAAAAATTGCCGATTACGTCACCACGGTAATATTGGTGACGTAATGTTCGTTACATCTACATCATGTGATGACGATTCAAAAATTAAAATTGACCTGTTTTTGGATTTTTTTCAAAAGTCGATTATTTTAGAAATAATGAATTTATTCCATACATTAGCGACATACTGTATAATCTTTGCGCTAAAAAGTTAGTGTTCCGTTGTCCTATAGTTTTACTGGATCTAGGAAGGAATATTTTTTTGTTCCGTCTTGTATGGTAAATACGTTCGTTTGGAATTATTTTAATTCTACCCTTTTTTATGGATAAAAGGTTTCTGAAACAATATAATTGTCTAATATCTTTAATATTTAGATCATTATATAATAAACGGCTTGAAAAGGTAATGTCTTTCCTATAAATGATTTTTAGAATCCACTTTTGGATGACATGAACATCATTTAAATGACAATCTGCTACTCCTGCCCACCCTAGTATACAATAGCTTAGTATTGACTCAACAAGTGAAAAATAGCCCAGACAACACACCAAATACCAGAGATATCCACAGAATATCTTTTGTGGATATCCAATATATCCACAGGATATCAGAAATATCCCGTGGATCTAATATGGATATCCAAATGTCCGTCTATATCCAGAATATAGAAGATATCCTATGGATATCCAGCAAAATATCTAATGGGTATCTTCCAGACAATACAAGAAATCCCAGAGATATCCACAGAATATATTTTGTGGATATCCAATATATCCACAAGATATTTTATAGATATCCACTGGATCTAATAAGGATATCCAAATGTCCGTCTTCTATATACAGGATATAGAAGATATTCTATGAATATTCAGCAAAATATTTTATAGGTATCTTTAGTAGAGGTTCATAAGTAACCAATGGATATATCCTATAGATAAAAAAGGAAATAATTTCAAACTCAAATGTGACATTCTTGGACCGGTTTCGTCCTTATTAGGACTCTTCTGCAGTAAATAGAAATTCTCGACTCCAGTCTCTAATGGAGTCTGATTGAAATACCAATTTCGGTCGAACTCAATTACGGCGGGTTGAGCATGAGTAGATTTTCAACGAGCGAAAGTGGTATCGCCATCTATACTTAGTAAGCAAAATCAAAGGTCGCTGTAGTACCTAGTTCAGAGACTAGGTGGAATAAAAGCCAGGCGGGCTATTCTTAAAAAAGGAAATAATTCTAGTCCTAATAAGGACGAAACCGGTCCAAGAATGACTTTCTTCTTAGTGGGCAAAATCAAAAATTACATCTAGTGTATATCCACCATGGTTTGCGTTCGTGCCTAGACTTTGATATATTTAGTGGATGTCCACGGTACTATTAGCCACAATGGCGTAATTTTTTAATAATTTGCTATATAATTACTATTACTTATGGACATTTGCATGTCTATAAATTACATCTCATGGATATAAAATAGATATCCACCATGGACTAGACATTCAGTGGATATTGGGATGTCCAGTAGATATCCAAAGGATTTGGTGTGCTGTCTGGGAGAGCACTTTAAGATGATTTAGTGCAAGATAATCTTTTAAATGCTTAAACTTTGATATCAAGCCTCTCACTTATTTTTAAATTTGGCTTGTTTGCAGATCCCATCTTAAGTGACGGTCGACCATGACACCTAAATACTTAATTGACGTTGACTCGGGAATTTGACAAATTAATCCTACATTAAGTGGTCCTAATTTTGGTAAACCAGAATTATAAGAAGTAACAGGCAGATAACTGGTTTTATTGTAATTTAAAGTTAATTTATTGTAAGCTAACCAGTTTGAGATTTTTGGAAAATCATTCTCAATTTTTAGTTTCAAACTTTGCCACGATGAAGATTTGTATAAAATAGCAGTGTCGTCCGCGAAACTGATAATTTCACCACAAGTGTCAAGATACAGCATATTGTTTATACACAGAGTGAATAAAATTGGACCTAGTACAGTATATTGTGGTACACCAAAAGTTATATTTTTAGTTTCACTTATGACACCGGCTATTTCAACTTGCTGTTCACGGCCCGATAAGTAACTTCGAAGAATATCGTAAGTTTTTACTCTAATTCCGTAATCTTAGTTTTTCCAGTAATCTTACATGTGCGACAGTATCAAAGGCTTTCGAGAGGTCAAGGAAAATGCTTATCGTTGGTATTGTTTTGTCTAGCAATTCATAAATAAATTAAGTTAACTTTTAAATAGCATCTTCTGTAGACTCGGAAGCCATATTGACGATCTGAAAGAATATTATACTTATATAGAAAACTGCAGAGTCTTTTTTTAATTATTTTTTTTAATTACCTTTGCTACATTCGATATTAAAGTGATCGGTCTATAGTTTTCGATATGTGATTTATTACCACATTTGAATAGAGGTTTAATTACACCATTTTTTTAATTTTTTGGAAAATACCTTTTATCAAAACAAGTGGTGATTAAAAATGTTAAAGGTGTTACACTTTTAGACGCTGCCTTTTTAAAACTTCAGAACAAATTTTGTCCAACCCAGAGGCCTTTTGTAGCTTAAGAATTTTTATTGCTTCATTTACTCCTTTTTCAGATGCTGGATGTAAATACATGGTATTCTTCAAAGATCTTGTCGGTTCTTTATAGTAAATATCGGGTGTTTGATTTGCACATTTTTATCCTAGTTCACTATAATGTACATTAAACGCATTATTGATGGACTTTATTTTTGTTCCAGATTTACTTTTTCCACATATATTACTAACACAGTTCCACAGGGATTTTGAAGAATGTTTTTTTTTCTATTTCCTTTGAGTAATAATTTGTTT